TATATATGTATATATATATATATATATATATATATATATATATATATATATAGGAAAATTAAATTAAAAGCCGAAAAACAAATCAACATTTTATAGTAATGGTTGGAGTAGTTAAGGACAATTTTAAATTTCTATATAGCCTTTATACAATGAATGCTTATGTGGGATAATATTTTTGATGTATTTATCTAATCTTAGAATAAACAAGGTAATAAATTGCAAGAAAGTATCTCCCATATTAAATAAAATTATAACAACTCCACAAACAATAAGAGAAATAAAATAAGAATAGAAAATGTTACTCACGTATAATTTTGAATAGACAAATTATCTAATACTTTCTTTAAAAGATCAACATCAATAATAAATTCAAACTATTTGAATATAGTAATCACAATTATTTCATTAAGCTTTTAGGAATATTCAAGATAATTGAGTTAGCAAATTTAAAATATTAAATATAATTATTACATATATAAATAAAAGCGTGGGAAAAAAAGAAGAAGAAGGTAGTACTATAAAATAATACTATATATAATTAGTCAATAGTATTATTTTATAAAGTAGTTGTCCTTGTTAGAAGAGTAATTTATATTTGAATAAGTATTTGATGCACGTAGGCAAAGAAATGAAAAGACAATTGGATCCAAAAATTGGCAATTTTCTTGTGTTTTGTCGAGACAGATAAGGCCACAAAAATAGGGTTGATAGAGAATCCGACCAAACTATCACATCATTTCTTACCTATACACACACACACACACTACATTTCTTCTCCCTCCCAATCATCTAAATGCCAATACAACCAAAACATTCTACTTCTAACAAAAAGTATCTATTAAAATTAGTCTTTAATTGAGTTGATTCTATCACGGTTTAAAGTTATTGTAATTCAATCGGTAAGAATTAGTAACCATTGAAGGTTACAAAACAATCGATCATTCATCAAATTCACTGTGTTGGTATATTACATAATCCTCGAGAGTCAGCTACCTCACATGCTTTAGTCACAAATTGAGGTTCATAGATTGAATCAAATAGGAAACATATTAAGGTTAACAAATTAGATCCAGCTTTGATGAGCAGTGAAGTCAGAATTTTAATTTAAGAGCGTCAAATAACGATGTAGATTCAAGAAGAAGTCAAAGAGTGCATACAATATAATTTTTCAACGAAACGGTGTCGATTAAAACCTATCAGGTCGGATTAAATGGGGTGGGTCACTAAATGAATATATATTTTGTTCTTAAAATTATGATTAAAACAAAAACTACATTTCAACAAATTTTAGTAAGAAAAAAAATTAAATAAATTGAGTGACATTCTGTGCAAAAAAAATCATAATTGAATGACATTTAAATTGAAAATCAAAATTGAGTGACTTTATGTGAAAATAGTTAATAGTTGAGTCAAAGTTATTAACTCCGCGAAAGAAGAACATTTGACTAGAAGGTTAAAAAACATTTATTGCATTTTGCTATTTTTAATTTAAGACCACAAAGTCAATATTTTTTTAAAATTATATGTCAAATCTACATTAATAACTAAATTAAAATGAAAAGAATATTAAATAGAGTAATTTCATTAATTTGCAAGGAAATAAAAAAATTCAAAATGGAAGAGAGGAGTTAATCAGCTCCGAATTTCAGACAAGAAATAAAATAGAATAAAAAAAAGTAGCGTTGAATTAGTAGGAAAATGGAAGAGGGGAAATTTGAAAAAAGGACAAAGCCGCAAGAAAGAGCTAAATTGTGGGGCGGAAGATGATGAATGGAACAACATCTGGGCTTGTCTTTCATACAAATAAAATCACAGATTACGCGCATCTCTTCCAATTTGACCATTTTCAAATTCTCTTTTTTTCTTCTTCTTCTCCATTATATATATACACACACATACACTCTCTTTTTCTGATTCTGACTCTGACTCTGACTGCCTCCTCCTCTCCTTTTCATTCTCTTTTTTTATCGTTTTCTCGCCGCAGATCCTTCTCTCTTTGCCCTGTCTCTCTGTTTCTTCTTCTCGATCTGGACTCTTTAGCGCTTTAGTCGTCTCCTCTCTTTGACTTCTATCTCTTCTTTTCGCTGGTGGGGACTCCTTCTGCGACTACTGACTGACCTTCTTACCATGGGTCAGTGTTATGGAAAGACGGTCCCCACCGTCCGGGATGCTGACGGACCAATCACCGATGTAATCGGTGATTCCGATCATCCGTTGCAGCAGACGCCAGTCAGCAGCAACAATTTGCCGTCGGTCAAAAACACACCGGCTCGATCCTCGGCCAACAGTCCTTGGCCGAGTCCTTACCCTCATGGGGTAGTTGGTGTGACGCCCTCACCTGCTAGGTCCACGCCTAGAAGGTTCTTCAAACGGCCGTTTCCTCCGCCGTCTCCAGCTAAGCACATAAAGGCGTCCCTTGCCAAGCGATTTGGCCATGCCAAGCCGCCCGCCGAGGGGCCGATTCCTGAGGATGATACACCTGAACCTGAACAGTCCTTGGACAAGAATTTTGGTTACAACAAGAATTTCGGGGCCAAGTTTGAGTTGGGGAAAGAGATCGGCCGTGGGCATTTTGGTCACACCTGTCATGCTGTGGGAAAGAAAGGAGAACTTAAGGATTTGCCTGTTGCTGTCAAAATCATCTCCAAAACCAAGGTAGTTTTTTCATTTCTTTGTTGCTTCCTGTTTGAAAAAGCATTAAACTTGTCAATTATGCTCCATTGTTTTTATGCATACTGCTTGTGTAAATCCATTAAAGTTGCTGTAACCTACAACAACAGATTATCTTTCGCATGTATTTTTATGCAGAGGCGGAGCTAGGTGGGGCTTCATGGGTTCGGACGAACCCACTAGCTTTTTTATAGACCCTATATTTGCACAACAAAATTAAATAAATACTCCTATATGTATATTAGCATGTAAACCCCCAAACGTCCGAACCCACTAGCTTTTTTATAGACCCTATATTTGCACAACAAAATTAAATAAATACTCCTATATGTATATTAGCATGTAAACCCCCAAACTCCTAACCTTGGTTCTGCCCCTGTTTCTATGTTTTAATTTGGTTTTAGACATATCTACCTTGTCCTCGTCTACTACTCCTAGATGAATGAGGTATAACATGTTATGAAGGAAATACTTACCGAGAAATGAAGGTGGAAACATTGAAGAAGATGTAATTGCACCCTTTTAAATTCTATAATCCACTATTGAACTCATTCTTTGCCGACATAGTTTTTATTTTAACTAAAATACTAAGAATGATATTGTGTATGGTCTGTTGATTAAACCAATTTAAAACCAAATAATTGGTTAGATTTTTGTTCTGATTTTATTCCAAGGCATGGGACTTGAGTCTCACATCGGCGAGCTGATGTGGGGCTTATATAGCCTTTGGGCTCTCCACCCATCGCCCTTCGTGTCTGTGTCTTGGAGGGTGACACTAATATTGCACTGTTGGCCAGGGGCTAGAAATGGTCTAGCTCACAGTGGTCGAGGACGACAAATGCGGAGTGTGGTGGTTTGTTATGATTCTATTGCTAAGTATGGGACTTGAGTCCCACATCGATTTAATTGGGGTTTATGTAGCTTTGGGTTCTCCCTGGGTTGTATCGATCTTCTAGGGCTTTTATTAGCCATATTCTCATTTCTGCAGGACTTTACTCAACTTGTTTCTCCTTAACTAGGAACTTTACTTCATGACCATATTCTTACCTTTTCCCTGCCTAATAAATACGTTCTGTTTTCCAATTTTCTTTCGGAAACTCATAAATTATTGCTTCTCTTCTTATTTGGTAACCTTCATGAAATATGCTCGTCGAATTTTCTCATCCTTGAATTGGGTTTGCATTACATAAGTCTTTATCAATCATCTAACACATGGAATGTGTGTTTCTTTGTTTTGTAAAGAAGAGCAGTGTATATGACAAGCTTCACTAAATCTTCTCTAACATAAAATACTAATTTGTGGGAGCTTTTGACCAACTATACCATGAGGGTAAGGGCTAGGTCAAGGACCGTTGGCAGAGGATCGAGCCGGAGTGTCTTTCACAGACGGCAAATTGTTGCTGCTGACTGGCGTCTGCGGCGACGGATGATCGGAATCACTGATTAATCCGTGATTGCTCCATCAGAATTGCGGACGGTGGGGACGGTCTTTCCATAATACTGACCCATGGTAAGAAGGTCCGTCAGTATTCGCAGAGGGAGTCCCCACCAGCAAAAAACAACAAAAAGAAGAGTAGAAGTCAAAGAGAAGAGAAGACTAAAGCGTAAAAGGGTCCATGGATTGAGAAGACTTGTGTAATAGCTTGAAAATCAATTATGAAAGCAAACCACTCTAGGCTAGCCTCGTGCGGCGAGTTCAACCCTAAAAGCCAACTTTTGTAGTCGTAGGGCTACTAATGTCGGGCCTTCATATGGAATTCCCAAGCTAGACTATCTGAGCCACCTCGATGGTTGTATTGATCAATTGATCTTAAATTTATTGTGGGAATTGTATGCTAGTGATTTTTATGTCGAATTGTCTTTTTTATACTCCATCCATTTCAGAAAGAATGATAGGGTTCAGTGAGGGTCAAACTTTCTAATTTTTGGTTTCAATTCCTATATCAACTTTGCTTTCTTTTTCTCATAAAACTTTAATAAACTACACAAAGAATACCATAAATATTAACTAAAATATATATCAAAAGTAGTAACCAAAATACTAAAAAAATATGTGAAACAATTTTCAAGAAAAAGTTATTTGACTCCCTAAATAGTAATGTTTTCATATAAAGGATAGATTATAAGTTGCTCGGACTCGGATGCGACTGTTCGATAAGGGTGCAAATTTAGAGGGCGGATCCTTTATGATCAGAACTTTAAGATTCGAGAACACTCTACAAGGATTCGACTAAAAATGATTCAAATATCTGAAATTAGAGTTATAAAACCTTGAGATATTATGTCGAAATTTTGAGGACAAAATATTGATCAAAAGGAGAATCCAGGAAAAAGATAAAAGGAAAGAGAGTGACAATAGAAATTTATTAATACATTGTATTCCATTTTCTTCAATTTCACCTTAATTTTTGTTTGAATTATTGTAATCATTGAGTTTGTCCATAATTCCTCCCTTGAATTTAGTCAAAGTAACCAAAACCGATAGACTAGACTGGGTTTGTCCATAATTCCTCCCTTGAATTTAGTCAAAGTAACCAAAACCGATAGACTAGACTGGGTACGGATCCCACACTCACACCCACGTCGTGGCGACACGGGTGCGGCACCAAAAGTGAAAAGTCCAAGCAACTTAAGAGAGATTTAAGTTAGAATGCTATAAGTGATTGTTGTCGGTGTTATTAAGTTAGAACTTAGATGATGACATTATAGCGCACATTAAGTGGAACGAAGCACTAAACACATTTTGAGCCTCGCTTCAGGGCTTATGCGTGCCTTTGACAACACTGAATTTGGTCCATACTTTGCTTTAGAGTTTGCCGGCTATATATCTAGGCCAACTTGCACACACCTGAATTATTTCACCAAGTACTAGCAACTACCCAACATCACAAGTATCAGCTAAAAAGTTATTGGGCCGCTTTGTTACACCAAGACTTGCGCAGATGAGAAGAAGTCACTTATCGTTTTTTGTCCATATTGCGAATAGGCCGATGGGAAGAAGTCACCAAGTGTGTTTGTCTGAATTGTTAAATGGTCATTGGCTCCAAAATGTTTACGTGCTTCATTGACAACTAAACTAGGTCATACTTTTGTGTGCGATGTATCCTCACTTTTTTATGACTTAACTTTAACGATTTAGTTGAAATACTTTAATGTTGGAATTGATCTCTTGTTCAAAGTACTAGGAAGTGGCTGCATATTGAGTGGCATCCATGCTTTTGAGGATAGCAAATATCAGGACTCCTCTAGATATAACCATTTTTACATTAAGGTTGCGTGCAACATTGTTAACGTTGCGTGGACCCACCCTTAGTGTCAAGTGACACCCCTTCATCGGAAAATTACATTGTATATAGAGGTTGAATTTCGGTTTAATAAATATTTGTTTGTGTGTGTGTGTACACACACACACACCCCTCTTGACACAAGGTAAAGGTTTAGTCTAGTGGTTACATGTGAATGTCTAGATGCATGACTACTTTCATTATGATGGTGAAAATGATTCTAAAATATATAGGAAAGTACAAAGGCTGGGTTTAATCTCCTCGTTCCTAAATTGGTTGAATTTCTAGTAATTGTAGTATCTTCCTTATTTGGAAGAGGTTTCTGAAAGAAGGGAAGGCAATTTTATTTACTTGGCACTTGATTCTCTTGTAAAGATCTGTTGGGCCGAATTTAATGCAAATTGAACGGAAGTGCGAGTTCTCTTAAACAAGGATATTGTTCCTGGTTCTCCTGTAACATGGGGAGTGTTTGGTAGGTTGTTCATAATAGATTAGATGTATATGTAACATAGAAGAGTGTAAGTGTCTTACATTGGGAAATGTAAACCTACATAGGAAAAGGCATATATAAAGCATCTCAGGTGCAATACACGCGTCTTCAATTATTCTCCCAATTCTTTTCCCGTTTGTCTTAATTCTTTTAGGTGAAACTTCTTGTGAAATCCATATAAATTTTTGAAATTCATAAGACAAAGTCAAATTGCGTAAGCTCAGCCCCATAGATAACTTATATTCACCGGGTGAAATCACAAAGATCACAAATTGTATTTCCTGGATTACTGTAATTCATGCATCTGTGGACGATGTAAATGAATGGTTATCTAAACAATTTGTCATGTTAAATTCATTTGAGATTATGCATACATTTCTTACCTTTTTGCTGTCTTTTATACCTAGATCTACTTCCCACATTTTCAAATATTTACTGAGTTGTTTTTATTTACCGTAAACCCAACTGGTCTTGTTCTTTTTTTTTTGTTGATATGTGCTACAATGACAAGTGGAAAAGACTTTATTGTGAAGCTCGAAGTGGAGCATTCATTGTTATTTTTTTGAATTGCCTAACATCATCGTCTTCGTTTTATTTTCTGAGCAAAGTCTATTTGGTCTGATTCTTTTAATCCAGCATTTTGGAATGGACAAATTTTTTTGTTGAATAGTTTGATTACATTGCTACTATTTGATACCCAGTCTTGCATAATGCTGCTTGTTACCCAGTGATTGTTGACTTACTGAATGATGTTCAAATTTTATGTCCAGATGACAACTGCGGTCTCCATCGAAGATGTGCGACGTGAAGTGAAGATTTTGAGGGCTCTATCAGGCCACAAACATCTCGTGAAGTTTCACGATGGTTGTGAGGATGCTAATAATGTGTACATAGCAATGGAGTATGTGCTTCAATTCCCATTTAATTTTGGCAGTTTTTATATATTTCGTTTTACTTCTCATAAGCTGATTTTTGTAACCAATGCCAAACCTCAAATTATTTCAAGATCTGCCAGAATTAAGTAAATGCGCAGATAATATTCTCCTCCCACTAGTATAGCTTTGTCCCTTATGTTCTTTTTAACTTTTGAATATGCAGATTGTGTGAAGGAGGAGAATTGCTTGACAGAATATTGTCAAGGTAAATGGAATAATCTTCATAAACTAAATAACCTTCTTTGATTGCTTGTAACTTGTATTTCAATGTTCTATGATTCTATGCAGAGGTGGTAAATATTCAGAGGATGATGCCAAACTTATTATTGTTCAAATTCTAAACGTAGTTGCATTTTGTCATCTCCAAGGTGTTGTCCACCGTGACCTGAAGCCTGAGGTTTGTAGTTGTTATTTTGCTCTCTATGAAAACTGTAATTTCTTCCTTGTGATATTGTAGTTAACAATTCCTTCTCATTTGCCTTCATCACAGAATTTCCTTTTCACCTCCCGAGATGAAGATGCTGATATGAAGCTCATTGATTTTGGTCTTTCTGACTTTATAAGACCAGGTAACTTTTTTATCACGCTTTCTTAAAATCTGTATGAGCTACTATACAAGTATTCTGTTCCAAGTTATGGATGTCATTTTTTGCAATGGGGGGTTATTGTTGCATGTGACTTATGATTGAAATTTTAACATGCTTGGAAGAATGAGAGGACACATCATTGCCTCTGGGCCATATGTATCAATTAGGCTTCTGATGCTCTGTGTGTATGGTGATTTCTACTAGTTTACCTAGTTAATTATGTATGAAGTCACTCGAGTCAGTAGCACTTAATCTAGAGGACTACTAGATCTTCTCCACAATATGGTTGTCTTTTTCTCACGTAGTGACTTTTTTGGCTGCATTTGGGCATTGTATAAAGCTTCTTTAGAGCCATACAAACTGTTCCTGCGAACAGAATTCCTTTTTAAACCAGTTCTTCCTTCTCACTTGATGTGAATAGGAAGGTGTGGCACCAGGAAGATTGAAGTTGTTACAGTGAGACAAGGTAGACTTTGCTGCAACAGACCAACAATCTGTTGGAGTTCATGTGGACTTGGTGAACAGCAGAACACAGTGAAAACAGAGTATCTGCATAGGCGATTCCAACAAGATTGAAGTAAGGTTTAGGTATAAGTGATAGTCACATTAGATCTGGGTTTGATAAAGTCTTTTTTTAGTTTCATAAGAGATTGTATGATAGCGTAAGGGTAGTTGAGAATTAGAGAATTCATAGTTTTAGGTAACTTGTAAAGTAGAGCATATATATTTAGGCAGTTCAAACAGCTAACGACAATTAGTTTTGTATTGAGCCATGGCTGTAGTAGTAGTTCTTAATTCTTTTCACATTAAGTTATCGGTGTCGAGCTATTAGTTTGTTCTCTATATACTTGGAGTAAACTACCGTTAAGATTTATAGTTGAATGTTTCATTGGCTTCATGATTTGTTCAGAAATGAATTGCTAGTATTTGTCTGCTTGTTTTGTATCGAAATGAATTTGGTATAATACAGCATAAATGATGAGCTATGAAGAAACAATCCTTGTTCTGCTATCATGGTGTCGTACTGGAGTAGAAGTGTGAAACAACTAAAGAACACAACTTGGCTTCTGGTGCTTAATCCTCCACCCCCTAAAACAGAGAGAGAACGAAACAAGACATCGGCAATGGTTATTTCTTATAACAAAAAAGTCATGGGCAATGGTATTAGTGATTTAAGAAACTTTGTTGCCACAGCTACAGTTTGGTTACCTACAAACTCTTTTAACTCCTTGTGGTTAATATGTGGTTAATTGAGAAGTTCTATTGGTGTGTATTATTTTCAAAGGACCCATGTTTTGATCAACCCACAAGCCTAATATTTTTCGACCTACATTTGGGGTTTTGCAGATGAGAGACTTAACGATATTGTGGGAAGTGCATACTATGTGGCACCAGAAGTTCTCCACAGATCTTACAGTTTGGAAGCAGACATCTGGAGTATTGGGGTGATTACCTACATTTTGTTATGTGGAAGCAGACCATTCTGGGCAAGGACTGAATCTGGGATTTTTCGCTCAGTATTGAGATCTGACCCCAACTTTGAAGACTTGCCTTGGCCATCTGTGTCTCCCGAGGCCAAGGACTTCGTAAAGAGGCTTTTAAATAAGGACTATCGTAAGAGGATGACTGCTGCTCAAGCTTTGAGTAAGTTTATCACTCCTTCACAAATTCATTGGTTGACCATTGGTTATCACTTCTCAGCTTGTTAGTTTTCCACATGAGAGTTCCATCCTGGTGGTAGGTCGGCTTGACCAAATCGAATGCTTAGAAGCACTGTACGATATGATGGATGATGTACCTTTTAATTTCAATTCCATAGGATGGTCAATATATTTGGTGTAAAAACTTCCATCAAGGTGTACTTTGATGTAAGCTTTAAGAGCTTTTCTGAACTGAAAGTGTGGTGGGGGTTGTCGGTGGGAGTGGTGTTATTATTGCTTATTTTCTATTTTTGGCTAAACCATAATCTATTAAATTTTCTTGGGTGTTCGTTATGCCCATACACACACTTTCTTGTAGAAGTATAAACTAATACAGATTTTTCCAATTACAGCGCATCCATGGTTGCGCAGTGAAAGCCATCCTATTCCTTTGGATATATTTGTCTATAAGTTGGTGAAGTCATATCTGCATGCTACACCTCTCAAACGTGCAGCACTAAAGGTATGATGTTTTCTTTTTCTCCTGTTTTTCCTTGTCCTTGTTTGACAGTTATAGCATGACAACCATAACATTCAAAATACATCTTGTAGTTGAACTGTATTCTCGAATTAAGAAAATAGTGGCATTCATCTGGAATAATTAATGACCCTATATAGAAGGTTTTCATTCTGGGGGAGTTAGGTTTTGGAAGACTAGATTCCTGTGATTACTGAAGCTTTTGGTAGTCCAGAAGAGCAAACGATGGCTGATGGAAAACAAAAAAGTAGAAATTTCATTAAAAAAAAGAGTATTTGTAAAACCAAATCAGGTACTGACAAATATGATAATGCAGTTGGCATGGTGGGTATCCAAGTTAGTATCTTTTTATAACTGCACATTCTACTTTTGGCTCTCTTCTTCTTTTTTATTACTACACATTCAACTTTTGGCTCTCATTCAAGCTATAGATAACTCGACCTGCAAGTCTACAGTTGGTATGCTTATCTGGCCATTCACTTCGAAAAATTTCTGCTGGTGTCCAACTTTCCTCCTTGTATACACTCTTGCATTTTAAACATCAATCGGATAATATGTGGAGGGCCTTCGTGTCACCATATTATTACCTTTGAGTTCTTCCATTGATTTGCTTTAGAGCTTTTCTCGTTTACACTTGATAGAAAATGAAGACTCCATTCTAGCAATCTGGTTAGTGGTCGATTAGTAGACGGTTCTCTTTAGATGCTACCTGTTCAAAAAAATAGACGGTTCTCTTTGCTCTGTGCCCCAGAGTGTAATTATTTGGCATTTGTTTGATTATTACTTATAGATGTTGCATGAAAATTTCATTTTCTTCTCACCTTTAATCAGTCTCATGGTTTACCCTGTTATAATAGTAATCTTCTTAGTGATTTATGATATGGTAGTGTCGTTTATTTGATGAATTTGTTTATTTTGGTGCTGTTTCTTCATGGATGGATTTGCTCTTCTGATGTGCAAATTTAGTATGATTAGAATGAATAGTCAGTGTAACAATATGCTAAGTTTTGAAGTACTATTTGCGACTTTATGTGTTCAGGCTCTTTCTAAAGCTTTAACGGAAGATGAACTGGTTTACCTAAGAGCTCAATTTATGCTTCTGGAACCTAGTCAAGATGGTCGTGTCTCGATTGAGAACTTCAGATTGGTTAGTATCTTGACAACTTCTCTATTCATCTTTTTCTAAATAATTAGAATTAAGACATTTAAGACTGAACTGTTCAAATATGAGAGAAGTCTATCTCTGTCAATTGTGAAATCAGAAGTTACAAACTGTTGTGAAACCGCAGGCTCTTTTAGGAAATGCTACTGAAGCTATGAGGGAGTCGAGGGTGCATGATATTCTGAATGCGGTAAGATTCATCGGATCTTTAGAATCAGTCAAAAGTCAAGTTCAAACTATTTTCTACTGTATATGTGAGATTTAGCTCCAGTGGCTTGATATAGTGTAGCCTGCTTTCATCTCGGAATAATGTAGCATGTGATCCAGCCATTTTACTACTGAAAGGCTAGCTTCAATAGATGTATTGTCTGTGGCCAGGCCGTACATAGAAATTTCTTTTGAATTGTTCAATTACACACTTAACATTGAAGCTTTATTGTCCTTTCACCTTTCAGATGACAGCATTGTCCTATAAGAAGTTGGACTTTGAAGAGTTTTGTGCTGCTGCAATCAGCACATATCAATTGGAGGCTCTCGAGGAATGGGAGCAGATTGCAGCCGTGGCATTCCAGCATTTTGAGCAAGAGGGGAATCGGCATGTTTCCGTGGAGGAATTGGCTAGGGTGGGTATCTTTCTGTTACCATAGCTGTTAGTATTCTCAATCTGATTGATAACTAACTATGCAGGAGTTGAATGTGGGTCCAACTGCTCATTCCATTCTCAGAGATTGGATAAGAAATGATGGAAAACTCAACATGCTTGGATATACAAAATTTTTGCATGGTGTCACTCTTCGTAGTACACCTGTGAGACGTCATTAGCTCCTCATCAAAAAAATATATATATATGAGACATCATTAGATACTCTCTTTTCAAATAGCGTTTGGCAAGTGATAGAAATTAACTGTTGATTGAAAAATAGGTAGTGATGATATGGCAGAGATGATTTTTTATTCTTCTTTGGCTCTTGCTTTCCTGTGTCTTTTTTTTAAAAAAAAAACAAGTTGTATTTTGGTGGCAGCCTCGAGTGTCAAATCATCGTGACCACACCATCATCATAGTCACTAAACACCTCCAACAATAAAGCGGTCACCCCTGCTAACCACTAGCACCAATATCGCCGTAACCCACCACCACAATTAGATCACACAAAGGCTACCTCCAGCCATTACCACCACCACCAAACACTGTTGCCTTCAATTATGGTCTTGTCAAGTTTGTGATGTTGTCATGTCACTTGGACAATGTAACCTAGCCTAAGTCAAGTCCCCACAATTTATATTTTAGTCCGTTTGACCATTTTGAATTTGAATAATGAGAATTTTCTTATAATAAGATAGGGCTACGATTGTTACGACAGGTTTAAGTTCACAATATTTTATTTATGGATTGAAATTATGTTACATAAATTAGAACGACTAGTATTTATTAATATTTGTCAACGTGTTTTTTCCTCTCTTTATTTTCTTATCATTTGGTTTATGTCTTAATTGGAAGTGATGAATACGTTGTGTTACTTTTTAAAGACGGCAGCGGCTGCTGCTTGCCGTCCACCAAAAGCCAATGGACCCCATGAAAGCAACGCGACCCTCCTATTTTAGTCTTATTTTATAAGAAAATAAAAAATGTTTTATTTTAATTTTATACATTTAAAACAGCAAAACATTTAATTAGTTTCTAAAATTATTTTGAAGAAGGTCAATTTCCTGGTGTTTGATTAACATGCCACATGCTTCACATCACCCCTCTACGTTCTAGATCATGTTAGGTAGACAATTCCTCTTTTTTAAACCAGATATGAATGTAGTTTTCTTCTAATTTCACACTTTATTTTTGAGTGATTGATATGTATCGTTTCATATGTATTATTATATGATTTTTTATATTAATAAATTGATAGATTATATTGTTCTCTATTGTTATATAATATTACATATTCATAAGTAAATGACAAATCTAAAAAAAGATTGAATACATAATAGGGCTACTGTGAAAAAGTGGAATAAAAGATAAAATATGATTATGAAATATTACTCTCTTCATTTTCAAAAAAATGATCATATTTCTTTTTTAGTTTGTTTCAAAAAGAATGATTCTTTTCTTTTTTGATAACACATTAACTTTAATTTTTCACGTGGTATGTTTAAGATCACAAGATTAAAAGATATTTAAGTGCATTTGACATTACTTTAATTTAGAATCACAAGTTTAACAAATCTTCTTTTTTTTAACACCGTTTCAAGTTAAACTAGGTCTTTTTTTAAACAAAAAAAGTAATAAATAAAAATTAAAAAAATAATAATAATAAGATAATAATGTGATCACATCGTACATAAAATAAAATTTTTCGTTATTAAAAAATATATAATTAAATATTATACGGAAACTATAATACCATACGATCATCCAAACAAGGTGTTGGAATTAAAAATGGAGGTAGACTGTAGTGCTTTAAATTCCGTGGAGGTGTCTGCCAAACTGTAATAAGTACAGAAAAAGACGTTCTAAAAAAACAAATCAATTTTTTTAAAAAATAAAGTAAAACATTATTCTATTCTTAACCATTTACGTCGGGTACATAACAAGTGTACTTTTTTTTTAGATCTTACGTAACAAGTGTACTTATTTAAATTTAGTTGCGTTTGTTATTTTTCAGCTTGAAGATTACGTTCTTCTATAATTCCACGAATTATTATCAATTTACTCAATTTCAAATCAATCCCACGAATTATTATCATGAATTGCATATCAAAATGAACTTAAAAAGGATCTTGGAATTTATTAATACGAGCATATTTCTTTTAAAATAAAAAAGAATTATCCGTGAGACAATTCTCCATTGATATTTTAAGAATCAACACTTGGGTAATTCATCTAAATTTCGTAATTTGAATTTAATTTCGATATGAAAACATATACTTGCATTCTTAATTAAAATTACCATAAATAATAGATATGAATTTATAACTAGGAGTAACAAATTTTCAAAACTAACAAATTGAGTTAATAAAATTCAAAACCCTGAATGGGCGTTATTCTCTGAAGGTCAATCTCACGAAAAAGTAAAAGAAGAATTCGATTCCACCAGCAACATGCGGCTAAAATATTTTCCAATGTTCGATCTCTGGAAAAAAAAATTAAAAATTTCATGATCAAACATCGTATAAATATGTGAATTTCATATAACCATAAAAGGAAGATAAGGAGAAAGTAGGTAAAAATTTCATTTCATTAAATTCCTTGAGCTAACAACTCCAGTGACCCATAACAAACCATCCAGAAACCGAAACAGAAAAAGTTTGTCCTCATTATCACTAACCGACTCCACCGAAAGCAGCAACAACAACAAAAAATTGAATCTCATGCCCTAAAACACGGCACATGAAGATGGGTATGGTGTTTATCAATTTTGCCTTGAACACATCGAAATTGTTCAACATGACAAGGAATCGTAATGGTTCCCTTGTGATGAAATCCATAAACTTCTTCCGCCTCTTTGAGTAATTGAATGAAAAGCGGATGATTGAAGTAAGAAACAGGGACGATGAATCGCTGTTGCTCTTCCTCTGCTTGCCCTACTTTAATCGCCAGGTATCCTTTAGGAACATCTCTTTTACCCTGTTTACTCTTTCCACTTTGAGGAATATGGAGGTGTGGAAAGTGAAGTATACTTCTCTCTCCACCACCCATGATCTTTGATTAATTAATCCCTAATCCTGTAAATCCAACACAAAATTATGATAATTATAGAAAACAGAGGAGAAATAGAGATTTGTTTCAGAGGGAATTAGGCCAAGGATTAGCAGAAATGGCTTGTTTGAAAAGGGCTAATGATGAATATCTGAGAGAGATTGGAAAATTAATCATGGCTGAATTTTTATCAACATATAGAGAGAGAAAAGAAATTAGAATCACTAGGAAGAGATAGAGTATGAGGGGATTTGTAGACCCACTACACAATTTATATACTCTCCATTATTCTAATTTTTATTTTATTTTTTTAAAAGAAAAGATATATTTTACGTAATATTTATATTAAGTGACGCAATTATTACTCTGTCTATCATAATTTAATTTCAATATGAGAGTATATTTTAAGGAAAAATTACATAATTTAAGACATTTTAATAAATAATTTATAAATTTTAGCTATACTTTTTATTTATTATCAATTGTAATAATACTATGTTAAATCTGTAATATGTATTAAAATTGAATTACATAAGCAATTGATACATTTTAATAAATAATTATATATTTTTTATTTATTACCATTTATAGTAATACTATATTTAATCTACAATATAAATTAAAATTGAATTATGTAAGCAATTTATATGAATTAAATTTTTTTTTGAAATATATTATATTTGTTAGTAAAAATTAGACACTTTGTTTTATAAGTGTATTAAAAATGTGTGATAAATATATTAACTATCATTAAAACTTGTATTATATGTAAATGATAAATTGTTTTTTGTAATATGTATTAAATTGGTATTACAAAATAAATTAAAAGTGATTAAATAAAAAAAAATTATTGCTATAAATGATAAATATTTTTATATTGTATATTTATGTAAAATTACTTTATTTTTAATATATTATGATTTGATTTAGATTATAATTTTAATCTTTTTTTAAATATTTTATATTAAATTAAATAAAATAATATAAATTGAAAGAAAGAAAGTAGAATTATATCGAATTTCTATGGAATGTCCCACAAGACTCGTGCCGTATGAAGCTCGTGGAAGGGCAACTAATGAGTAATAGTCGAGCTCTTGAAGATAAAAGTAGTAGTAAGAATAAAATTAAGGGATTTATTTTGAATTTTTTAATGAAATAATTAAATTATTATATAATATTAATATGATTTTTATTTTTATATAATTGATATTGGATATTTTTTAATTTTTTAGTTATTACATATACATGATTAATTTTAAATTTTTTAGTTATTATTTACTCTCTTCGTTTCAAAAAAAATGACTCTCTCTTCTTTTTTGTCTGTTTAAAAAAGAATGACTTCTTTTTTTCTTTTTTGATAACAGTTTAACTTTAACTTATCACGTGACATGTTTAAGATCACAAAATTAAATACGTTTTAGTATTTTTTTAACATAATTTTAGTTTAAAATAATAAAATTTAAATTTTTTAAAAAAATTTCTTTATAAGTTAAACTAGACTATTTTTTTTTTAAATCGGAGAGCATAGCTCATTCAAATTTTGATATTTTAACGAAAAGAATCGGAAAGTGAAAAAGATGGAGAGAGAAGTGGTTAAGAGAAGAATAGATACGTGGTAGTGGAGTGGCAGAAGTTGAGACGCGTGGGGAAAAAGATTTCTTATGAATTTGGCTTATTTGAAATGAAATCAAGAGCTGATTGGTATTGCTGTTGGTAGATAGAAGTGTTTTTTCGATGAAAAAAATTAATTATTTTGAAAAATTAATAAGTGTTTAGTAAATTTTTTAAATTGTTTTTCAAATGAAAACAAAAATATAATCTTTTTTTATTGTTGAAAAGAAGCTTTAAAAGAAAAAAAAATTTAAAAATAAAAATGCAAGACTAAAATATTTCTCTTTTATATATATAAATATATATATATATCCATACATTTCTTACTAATTAATATACATATCTCATGAGTTTGGTTAATTTTTATTTAAGAAATTTTTATAATTTTATATAATAAAAAATTTATTTTTTATTTTATCTTATTTTTTATATATCACTTTAAGTTTTATTCTAGAGAATTAGAATAATAACGATATTTTTGTAAAAAAAATGCTGTTCCTCCCAAAAAAGTAACAAAAACCAAGAAAAGATATAATCTTAGTGGAAATAACTTATTTTGGTTTGAACTTTTTAAACTTTAGAACTTTATAAAAAAAATTTGATAATAGCCAAGATTGAATTGGAAAAAATAGATTAAATTAAAAAAAAAAATCCTCTTTTCGACCTTTTCAATAATATTTATTTATATATAATATTGGTTGAAATTTTGAATATGTACGTTTTAAATAAATGTAATTAAAGTTTTTGTATTAGATGTTTAAAATAGTTTCATTTCATAAAATAATTTTAGTATTAAAAGCAAGTTGATACATATTTTTTTTTCGTAATTTGACTTGTAAAAATACTTTTTAAAGAAAATTAGTCAAATATAAATTGCTTGTCGAAAACACTTTTCAAATGAATTTTTTAGACAAAAATAATTTTTTTTGAAAACTTCTTTTTGAAAAGTCATTTTTAAAAAACACTTGTAGAAATAAACAATTCTTAGCAACAATGCAGACACGCTCTAAGGTAAGTAGGTACTCTGTTTAATGAAAGGTTTCTATTAACAGCGGCGGATTTATGATTTAAGGTTGGAGGCATCACAACGTACAAGTAAGATAAATGGATCGATTACTTTAATTTTGGGTTATAATTCAGATTATTAATTTTTTTTATTTTTATAAACAAATTGATCAAATATGTATATAGTAATATTTTCTTTTAGATATTATGTGATTAGCGATAAACTAAACAATTCAATTTTTGTTTTTATTTTTTAAAATAGATGTCTTATTCGTAAAACTTTGAGAAAAAAAGTTTTACATTAAAATTTGAGCTGTATAAACTTCTATTGACTTTATGTGTTGTTGGAGATATATAGTTGGGAAAGAATAAAAATCTTACTTAGCAAAAACGTTGATGAAGATCGAAAGAGACTTTAAATAAAAAAAAACATTTTTAAACTTATATTTTCTAAAAACTAATATTTAAAGTAGTATTCCTCACAGATTAAAAAAAATCAATACGTTACTATCATCTCAATAGATGGTTTGAACCCGCGTTAACAAGATGACAGACTCTCTCCTTTATGAATTGGGCTACTTCGCAGTACAATTACTAGGTGAAAAAAGTAATACATATTTAATTATTATATATATTTATATATATATGAAACGTTTTTTCTATGATTACTGAATGTCACGACACCCCCACCCGTCAATGTAGATCCGCTCTTAATTTTATACTGTCCTTAGATATTAAGAGTACGTTTGATATTACTATTAAAATCCTTATTTACTCGATATATACATTAAAACTTACTTTTCATTATTATTGTTATTATTATTTATTTATTTTTCATTATTCTTCTAGAAGATGCAAAATCATTAGAAAAATCTCATTAAATGAAAAAAAGTATCTATACATTAAACTTTGCACAATTTATATTGGATTATAATTTTTTTTACAGTTTACTTATTAGTAACAAATTAATCAACCTTCAAATAGGTTAATTTTCTTTTAATTATGTTTCAACTGAACACCCCACCATCTAATATAGTAGTTCACATATCTACTTATGGTTTAAATTTTGAACTAATGTGATAATTCATTTATAAGTTAATTAAGTTAACAATACAAAATATAATATTTTCTTAATTATAAATATTCATTTAATAAGCAATAAAAATTGTACGCAATTTCGACGGTAGCCATCTCTAGAGAGCTAAAAAGTGAAATACTTTTAGTGAGTAAATAACGATTCACTTTTGGTTAAAATAGTATGAATTATGATAGCATAAAAATCATATCGAATTCCTTTTGGCCAGTCTCATATCTTTCTATCCTGATCTAATTAAATATAAATATTTTATTATAAATTGAGATATTTAATGGGAAGATAGCTTAATTTAACGTATTGTAACTATATATTACGCTACAAAAACCAAAAAATTCAATCAGTCGGATTTTTATTTTTTTTTTCAATTTGTAGATTATGAATTAATGGTCCCATACAATATACATCATGCATTTAATTTTCCTCTTGTCTAAGATGCTTTAGGTAACAAAAATAAATGTTCACCACATCCTGAGAATGAGAATCTTATCAATTCTCTGGAATTATACTGCTGCCAATCAGAGGATTACACTTCGTAAATTGGAGTCCATGAATTTGAAGGAAAAAAAATGCCAACAAAAATTTGGTAAGAAAATCTTGGTAATAAATGGTGATTATAATATAATAGACCAAGATATTAAATGAGATCATACCATGAGCTTAATTGGAAATTTTGCTTAATTAGAGATAAAATCTTTGGTATTATATGATGTGTGGAGTCCTGTTCCATATACCAAACTTTTAAAAATTTGCTTAAATTCGAAGTGATTTTTATTAAAAATATACATTATGAGATTAACTATTTCGCTATTCCTCGTTCAGGTTAAATTGGTATCCCCTACTAAGTTAGAAAATACTCATGGTCAACATGTCCGTCTAGCAGTTTTTTCTTTATTTAATTTATTTTTTCTGTTATTTTAATTTGTTTTTTATTTTTTGAATTTTTTATTTACTCAAAAATTGCATAAAAAATACAATAAATCATGATATTGACAAATTAAAATATTTTTAAAAAAAGAAACATATAAATAATTCGACTGCTTGTAGAAACATGTATTATTTAATTTGAAAACTACATAAAAAATATTGTATCTCAATAATAATAACATTTAATTGACTGTTGAAATATTTTATTTGTATTATATATATTGAGACAAAAAAAATACTAAGATATATTATTTAAAAATTATGTAAAAATATGATAAATTATAATTACTAACGACTTAAAAGAATTATATTAAATTCAATTGACTAACTAAAATTATAGTATTATCTATATCACAACTCACATAGAGTGAGAATAAAAAAACCCGATATTGCACGAAGAAAAGTCGAATATTTGCAATGAGACCACTTTCGTGCCTTGATATTAGATTCTGCCCAAAACACTAAATAAGAAAAATAACATTTAGAGCATCAATCAAAATGAATTCAGGGCCCACAAAATTTATTATGTAATCTTATTAAAATTAATTTAATCAATATTATCGAAAGAATTTTGAAGTATAAGAAAATTATATTATATGTGGATTTAAGATCATTACAATTGTCGCACATTAAAATTATAAAAAAATATATTAACGTGAGATTGAACTCAGGCTCAAAAACGCTAAAATAATCTTAACTATTTATATTATACATTTGTAAAAATTTTGCTGAAATAAAATTTAAAGGAAAATTATGTGGATAAACAAACATATATTAGATAATTAACTAAGATAACTATAGTTTGAATTAAACAGCTCACGGCTTAATTTTAGATGTAATTATTGTGTTTCTCTCCTCTCTTCCTCTCTCTCGCCTATTTCTTTGCTTATACATACACAAATTATGTATATTTGACAGATATACAAATACATATGTATATCAGTTACATGTATACAATTATCTGATATATATACATATACACCACAAAAAGCTTCTTTTCATTCTCTTTCCTCTCTCGCTCTCCTTTCCTCCCTCTCCCAATCTCACAAGCTTCTCTCCTATTCTAACATATAACTACGAACGGTAATTAGTAAACTATAGTCATAAAGTATAATTAAAACTATTTTAATATCTATTTGTGAAAGTTCCCTAAAATTTAATTATGAGTCCTAAAAAATTTAAATACATAAAACATTTGTGTTTTTTTTAGCGAATTAATAAGATGTTTTCACATTAAATGAAATTGAAGAAGTTACATGAGTGATTGTCGGTCTCAATTTAATTGAACATCAAGTATATTTATGAGGCCTAAAACAAAGATTTCATTCGCTTCTCTCTTAAAATCCTTAATGAAGCCTTTTTTATTTTACTTTTTGCTTCTCTTTATTTTTGACTGATATAAATAATTATTATCAATTATTTTTAGATTAACTTATTGAGTAAGCAACTATTTAGATTAATTTTATTTTCAAATTTAATAGTTTTAAAATTAGCAACTTTTACATATAACAAATATAAAAATCAAATTTATATTCTATAGCTATAATTTATATAATTGCGCTCCATTGTAAATTTTATATTTGCTATGGAGTATTAAATTATATAATTCATTGACTCCTCTTCAGATTTGTGTAATTTCGCTGACAGACCATTTATATAAATCGTTGTCAGCCTCTCATTTGTATAAATCGTTACAGCCTCTTAATTCTTTTATGTGTTTGTATATCTGCATAAAATTTAAATTTGTATTATATTGAAATAAAACATTTGTATATCAAATCTCTCTCTCACACTTTATACAAACATGTGTTTGTATAAAGCGAGAAATGAGAGAAAGACAAAAGAAAACTGGCAGGGGAATATTTTTATTGTATAATTATAAGTTTATATAATGACGATATATGTATTCACATATGTATATACAATTTTCTCTCGCTTTATACAAACAGAAACACAATTTATACATTTCTGTTTGTATAAAGCGAGAGAGGTGAGAGAGAGACTGGCGAGCGAGAGATTTTCAAGGAGAGAAGTGAGTGGCAACAGTTTGTATGGGGCACAATAAAATCAAATTGTGATTACAATATTTAATTAAAAATAATAATTTGTCATTATATACAATTTTTTCTTAAATATAACTTCTTTATGCCCTCTATATTGTGGGGCCAACAGAAAGATGGGGCCGTGGCATGTTTGGGCTTTAAGCGCATCACTCAAAATCTGGCCCAAGCTAGAACCTTGTAAGTTCTCTTCCATTCTTGTTTCCAATATAGTAGTCATGTTTTACTTTTTTGAAAGTCAATCGTCTAATTACACGAAAAAATGAATCGGTGATAATAAGTAAAAAGAAACTGAGTAATCCCATTTTATAGCAGGAATCTTACATGGGAAGCGTTAGAATTTAAAAAGAGTACAGAATCTGTAACTGTTAAGTGTAAAGTTTAAGCATGCTATTAAGTGTAAATTAAAAAAAAAAAAGTATCTTTTTGAAAAAGAGGCATGGATCAGCCTAAGTTATATTGATCATGAAGGTTTAAGAATAAATAAGATCATTGAAGAATTTCATAGCCTTCCAGAGTATGTGTACGTAACATATTAAAAATTAACAGATCATATAATTCTGATTAAGTTATAAGATGGTGAAAATAACACAATGAAATGACAGTATTGAAATTAAAACCGCATTAACATTGAAATATATTAGTGCTTTTTCAAATACAAACTGCGAAAACAACTACAATTGTATCTATCAAACTAAGTTAAGATAAACAAAATAAAAATCAAGCAAACTTTTGTCAGCTAGTTTTTTGTGTACACGTTTGTTTGTGGAAATAAAGGAAAAAGGCAAATATGCGTACAGCCTCCACCACTTTATTGATTTGCAAAGTCAAAAAGATTCCATCACCACAAACAGTATTCCCTTTCACTCACTTTTTATACTCCATATTTTTATTTTATTTTATTTTTAACACTAGTCGACCTCTGTAAATGATCTACATTTACAACCTATATTAGTTACTCTAAGAAGATGAATGCCAATAATGCAATGAACCTCTGCAGTTTCCCACTTCTTTCATGTCCACACAATTTACCATCACAAAAAAATCTAAAATGAATGTTGAAAGGTAAATATTAGATTTAGATGATAAAACTAATTATAACCTAGATATATTTGAGTAAATGTTTAAATGCATATGATAAAGGTGTCAAAACACCTCGGAAATACATGAAATAGTACTACTCGATCGGATTGCACCCATCATAGTTAAAGTTATTTCGTAAGTCTTACAGAAAAGCTTTCTCTTTGTCACTTAACAAAGAGTGTTTCTCTTTTTTCTGTGTTCTTATCTTAAGATAGAATTCTAAACAATTAGAGGTAACAAGTAAATAGCTGTTTTTTAACCTAATCTTCCATATTATTAGCTGTTTTTCTATTCAATTATTTTTATGAAGAAATTGACCCTAGGGTTTTTGAAGAAAGGCAGGAAACCAGATCTGAATGTTTGCAGGCAAAAAGCTATAATGACCACAATCATAGCTATATACTACTTACTATAACAAACAATAGGCATACGTTATTGACCAAAGAAACACAGATCATGACCCAAAAAAGGCAGTAATGATGAAACTCTTTTTTTTTCTTTTCAGGTTGGGATTTGTAACAAACATAAAAAAAAGTCAAGATATTTCATCATTACACCAATCTACAATACAGAACAAACAAAAAAGGATTGATTCACAAACGGACAAACAAAATAGCTTCGCAAAATCAACAAAATAGAGTTATAAGAAAAACTTACCAGAAAAATGGATCTAACAAATAAGTGTTGTGAGAGAGCAATATTCATTGTGGGGAATGAAGCCTGGTCCGACGACATCAAAAACATTATAGATCTATAAACAAAATATACAGATCTATCTATAAGAAACAATTTTTGATTCCTCGAGCCAGACAACATTCCCCGCAATACAAAAGCTCTCTCTCCCGTTACATGGTATTTTGCCACCCCAGAAGTATCGGCTTAGTTTATGGGGGAAAACAGAGAAAAAGATGAAAGGGATAGAGATTAGAATATGTGATGATGAAGAGAATGATTTGTTGGGTAAAATAAAAAGGAGTTGAAAGAAGAGGGTTCCGTTAATAGGACAAAAATAAGGGGCACAGTCTGACTCTACCAGCTGTGGGGGTTTTTCTGAAATGACCACGAACCCCATGCACACTCCTCAATTCTAATTCATTATTCTAAACTCTTGAAAATATTCCAAATACATTTCCCTAATGTATTGAAAATATTCGACACAAAAACACTTCATTTAGGAGTGTTTTTGAATGATCAAAAGATGTATTAACAAAATTAATATCTACTATTCAATTGGTAACCACATAAATGGTAACGGAGGGGGCAATAAATTTAATTAGGGTATTAATGGGATTTAGGTAGTTGGATAGGAGTGAAAGTGTATAGGTAATTAATGTGAACGTATCTGTAATCGTAATCAGTGTCTAAAGTAGATTAAACGAGTAGGTCATACAGCTATAGATTTGAATTATGAGAGAAATGATTAATGATTTTGTCACATTTCCTAAAATCATATGCTAATCTCAAACGCGCCATGCTCTAATTTTACTTTATTTAATTCTATTTAAATTTGGCACTTACTAAAAAATTTATTATATTTTTTATTTTATAATGTTACGTTTTTTTAAAGTCAATATATAAAGAATTATTTTTTCTGTTCATTTTTTTATGGTTATATTATGTTTTCTAAAGTCGATTTGATTAATTTTGAAATTTAAATTAGATTGCATTAATTTGATATTTTAAATAAATTTTAAATATTAAAAGTTGTACGAAAGTATTATAACTTTCAAGTTTTTGAAATTTTAATCAAAATTATTATTGTTTAACTCTAAAAATAAAACTATGACAATTAAAAATAAATGAATATAGTATCAATCTTGAAAGTATGAATATAATTAACATAAAAAGTAAATAATTGATCTATGTTAATTAAATAATTAAAATGAATTAATTTGTGTTCATTGAAATTTTATTTGAAAAAATGTTATCAAGCAAAATACATAATGATAAACCTTTATAATTTTATAAATTGACGTAAAATTTAAAACAATAGATATATAAAAAAGAATATCATATGAATCCAACAACGCATATGTGGAGTAGCTATATTAGTTCTTTTTTTACAGCTTGGTCAACAAACATTAAAAACCTCGAATACTGTGTAAAATAACATTCTACTAACACGGATAGACAGTCCTCCGTCCATTTTTTCTTAATTTTTGATTTAGTATGAAATTTAAAAATATCTTTTCGGTCTTAATTTGCGTGGCTATATTTGAATTTTAAAATTTAAATAAATTTATTTTTAAAATTGTTAATTTGATCATTTAAAAGTTAAAATAGATAATATTAAGTTAATATTTTAAATATAAAAATTAGATATTTAATAATTATACGAAAAGTATTATAAATTGTAATATTATACATGTGAATATGATGAAAATTTACATATTAAATGTTAGTCAAAGTTTTATAATTGAACTATAAAAAATAAAATTACGACAATTAAAAATGATCTAAAATAATAATAAAAAAATTTATTTCAATTTACGGATTTTATTTGACATGACATATTATTTAAAAAGGATAGAAAACTTTTGAAACTTCTTATTTATAACAAAAATACAAGTCATTAATATACTTATACGAGTATATATTATTTCATTAAAAATAAAAGTGAATTATATGAATTTAAATAATATAAACTTATTTTTACTTGTTACGTTACGTTTTTTTAAAAAAAATTAAAATTAATTTAAATTACATCAACTCTATGTAAAAAAAAATAAAAATATTATAAATTATAATTTTTTTACATATTAATATGATAAAAAGATACATTATAAAATATTATTCAAAACTTTTTATATTTGAATTTAATTAAAAAGAATTATAACTATTCGTATAAATAAGACAAGAAGAGTGGTAAACCTTGATTAAATGATGAGTAAGTGATGATTGTGAATGAGAAGCAGAAATTAATGAGAGCACACAAGTGAGTCAGAGGAGTGGTTGAGATAACCCATAATAATGGACTAAAAATATAATCGTTTTAATTTCATATGACTTGTCCTCTTCTTCCTACTCCTATATCGATGGCCACCATCTCTTTTATTGGATTCGAAGATATAAAAAAATAAATAATGAGTTTTTTATTCTTATATTTGTCTTGAATTCGAATTCTTTGAGGTATAGAATTACTATAGTTAGTGAAGCGTTCTATTTTTAACATGGAATTTTTAGCATAAATTAATATGAAATATAGAGGATAGCAAATAAAAAAATCGTATATCCGTAATGTTAATGTGCTTTAGTACTCAAAAGTAGCTTATTACTCAATAATTTTAAAAAGTGAAAATCTTTGATTTCATAAATTTTAATTTTTGATTCTCCGCAATATTATAAGCTTTTGAATTTAATGAACTCTCGTTTAAATGAAATGGAAAATTAATATGGTTATACAGTAATATGTGATGAGAGTTTTTGATTTGAAATTAGAACACGTAAAAAGGAATGGACCCTCGTTTGGCGCGTCCTTTTTTCATAGGCGAAGAAATCGAGGATTGAGTCAGGCTTCCATCTTTTTCTCTCTGCCCTCTTTTCTGTTGTAACAGAAGCAAAGTAATATTTAATGCATTTTCATTTTCTTATTTCGTACGCCTAAAAAATAAGTTGTATAATTCTGAAACCTCAAATTGTGTTACTGTATAAATTGGAACACAAAAATGAATTTACTTAGATGGACTATATACGAATCTTTTATGAAATAGTAGAACTTTATTAATGATGTTTTAAAATTGAGACTTTAACACTACTGTGGAGTAATGTTTTCTGTGCTTATTTAAAATTAGGAATAATATCTGGAAAACATAACAACATTATTTTGATTTGCAAAAATGAATGAATATAAAGAATACGTGACAATTAAGTGTACAGATCCAAGTAAATTGAAGTGGAAGAGAAAATTTGTCTTTTTTGCTAGGCATAAATTGGTACTTGTTAAACCAAACGTGACGTAAGAATCTTTTAATGGTGGTCTTAGTAAGTAGACATAGAGAGCTTGTTATATCATGATGGTGATGGATGTGAAATTTTTTTAATCGAAAAATATAGGCAAGTTTTGACGATTCATTAAAATCTGTGTAAGTTTTGCAATAAAGTCGCCATACAATTTATTTATATTGAACTTTTGATAGGATAATTAGCTATCGTCGAGAATTATAATTTTATTTTTTCAAAATTAAGATACTGAAGTTATTGTACTTGGTATAAAAAAAAATTCTCTTATTTTTAACAAATACAAACTCCTCCTCATTAAATTTTGTCTTCTTATATAGAGGTCACTGGGCGGCTCAGTTAATATAAAGATAAAACAATATTCTTATTCTTAATATAAGTGTAAAATATTTTAAATTTTCTGTTATATTTGTTCCCTCAGTTTTGTTCTCATGAAACTTTCACTTTGTAAATAATCAGATAAAAATATACGTACTTATTTAGATGATGAAATTCGGTTTTAATATAAACTGTTTAATTAGAACTCATATTTTAAAGTAAGCTTTTGTTGTGATGTTTTAATTTTATTTTAAAAAAATTACATGAATTAATATATTTTAATAAATAATTACTGATTTTAGTGATATTTTTTATTTATTATTATTTATAGTAATATTGTGTTAAATCGGTAATATGTATTAAAAATAAATTATGTATGCAATATATATGAATTATAATTGTTTTTTTGAAATATATTATGTTTGTTAGGTAAAAATTGTCACATTGTATTATAAGTGAATTAAAATGTATGATAAATGTATTATCCATCAGCAAAATTTGTATTATATGTGAACAATAAATTGTTTTTTATAATATGTATTAAACAAGCATCATAAATAAATTAAAAGTGATCAAATAATAAACATTATTATTGCTATAAATAATAAATATTTTTTTATCATAGTATATTTACGCAAATTTCTCATCAATTTTCTCGACTTGTTTTCTCCCGCCCGGTTGGATTGGGTCTGTTGACTCACAAATTCAAGCCAATTAATATTGCCACTTCCAATTTTTTTTGGGAAAATTTTCAAAATGTCACTATTTTAACATTTAAGAGGGTTAATTATCAACACTTTCAATATTTGGAAAATTTAATTAACTAGTCAAAAAATCAACTTATTTAGTGATAATATTCATACTTTAATAATATTAGTAAACATGTCAAAAATGTCATTATTTTAAAAATAAATAATTATTATGATATTATTAATATTTTCTCTCTCATTATTTACACCCTTTTTTCTCTCTCATAGATTACACATTTTCATATATTTATGTAAATTTGATATATATTAATATCATTTTAATTTTTCTCTCTCTTTTCTTAAGCTTATCAATTTCTCTCTCTTACTTTCTTCCTAATCAAATCCCAAAATTTTTCTATTTTTTCTTTTCTTCTTTTCAATTTCTCTCTCTACCATTTTTCCAAATCAATTCCATAAATTTTCGATTCAATATATTAATATTTTCTATTATTCTCATTTAATTTCGTTGCAAGATTTGATTTGAAGATTAACATTGATTTGGGCATTATGTTTTTCAGATTCCTTATTTATTTACTTACTGATTTTAGTGTTTTTTTTAATTTTTTTTGTTTTGTTGTTGTTCTTAAAACATTTTTTAGGGTTTGAGACTACATAATTCTCTCTTCAGTGGACGTTTTCAAGAGAGTTATTAGAGGTATTAAACAAAATAATCATAGTTCTTCCGATTTTTCCCAATTTATCGGAGAAGATGTTTTTTTTGCATGTTCTGTATTTTGCATGTTTAGTTTAATTTGTTTAGTAATTTTTTTTTAAAAAAAAAAATCATGTTACAATGTGTTTGAAAGTGTATATGGAATTTTTATTATGTTATAGTTAGTACTTATTTTTGTATTTCATATATTTATTGTATTTTGTGTTCTATTTTTTTTTTTTTGTGTGTGTGTTAGTTGTGTCAATGTAACACATTATATGAGTTTGATTGTGTATATTTCATATTTTTAATATTTTTTGTATTCATAGATTTGGAAGTGTATATTGAATTTTGTTGCTGTTTTAGTTAGTATATATTTTTGTATTTCATTGTTTTATTGTATTTTGTATCCATAGATTTGGAATTATATTTCATATATTTAATTCATTTTGTATTCTGTTTTTTTTTTTGTGATAGTTATGTCAATGTACCACCTTTAGTATTTGTTTTTGTATTTCATAGTTTTATTGTTTTTTGTATTTGTAAATTTGGAAGTA